GACCATAACTTTCTATGGGAGTCGAAAGCCTCTTCTTTCTCCAGCAAAGCAGCTGGTGGTTTTGAACCGCTTCTTTTGTGGTTTGCCGCACGATGCATAACCATTACGCCGCCAGGGCTCTTGACTCTCGTTGAGCCCAGCAGGAAGGTCGAGGTCAGGGGAGGGACCTGTCTGACTGCACCTCGCGGTATTGAGCCCGTGGTGGTTTTTGTTGCTAGGTGCTGTCAGATTGGTTCTGAAGCCAGGTGGTATCGTAGAATAAAAATGGCATGGGGGCAGTGTCTGAGCTCTGGCGATTTCACAAGGAGGAAGGCGGAGAATCACATTGGCATCTGCCCCTGGCTGATTTCATTATTTTTTTATTCATCATTTTATTGGGGGCTCTTACAATTCTTATAACAATCCATATATCCATTGTATCAAGCACATTTGTACATATGTGGCCATCGTCAGTTTTAGAACAGTTTCTTTCTACTTCAGCTCTGAGTATCAGCTCCTTTTTTCCCCTCCCTTCCCCACCTCCCACTCCCATGAACCCTTAATAAATTATAAACTGTTATTTTCATGTTTTACCCCATCCTCTGTCTCCCTTCAACCACATTTCTGTTGTTCATCCCCCTTGGGGTGGGGGAGGTTATATGCCGATCATTGCCATTGGTTCCCCCTTCTCCCTCCCACCTTCCCCCTACCTTCCTGGTATGGCTACTCCCATTATTGTTCTGAAAGGTTTATCTGTCCTGGATTCCGTGTGTGGAGAGTTCTTATCTGTACCAGTGTATATGCTCAGTCCTGAGATTTGTAAGGTATGACTGGGGCTCTGATACTGGAAGGGAGGAACCATTAAGAACTCGGGGAATGTTGTATGTTTTGTTGGTGCTATACTGCACCCTGGCTGTCTCTTCCCTTTCTTGTGACCCTTCTATGAGGGGAGGTCCAATTGTCTATAGAGGGACTTTGGGTCTTCACTCTGAGCCTCCTCGTTTGCATTCATATGATAGTTCTGGGTCTTCTGATACCTGATACCAGATCCTATCGACACATGATTGCACAGGCTGGTATGCTTCTTCAATGTGGGTTTTGTTGCTTCCCTGCTAGATGGCTGCTCGCTTAACGTCAGGCCTTTAAGACCCCAGACACTATATCTTCTAACAGACAGCCATCATCTGCTTTCTTCACCACATTTGCTTACCCCAACTGATTTCTATGAAGTAAAGGCACTCTGCTATACTGCTGGGTCCAACAATCCATTGCAATTGCCACATACAATACTCACGATTATGGGTTTATTAGGGAGGTTACAACTCGGGATGAGAAACAATTCTTAGGTTAATTGTGCCTCTTCTCAGCTATGCCCACCCACAGGCACATCTCTCTCCCTGAGCTTTGGTCCCTCAGCCATATGGCCCCTTGGCCTCTGCCCTGCGTGGGCAAGTGTCACAAAGCTCAGTTAGTGCTGCTGATAAATGCCCAAAGGGCATACCACTTCACCATAAGCCTCAACCTGAAGATGCTAGGCTCTCGCTCTGGATGTCAGTAACCGTAGCTCCCCAGATCCAGTGCTTGGAGATGGCCTACTCTGGCAGTGACCCTTCTGTCCTACAGCACTTAGCTTTGTTCCCTCCTGGGATCTGGGAAGCCAAGCCTGCCTCTCGTCTGTGCTTTTGGTGCTCCTGCCCCTGCCGCCGCCACTTCTCTCTGCTCTCGCACCATCTCATGTGTCACAACTCTGGATGGAGGACGTTCAGCACAGGGATCTTTGGGGTCCAAAGGATGTGTTTCATTCTTGGCTCTTCTTGTTGAATGGTTGTGAGATTCCCCATTCCTGCTTCTGAGATGGCTTATTTGACACCCAGCAGGATGGCAACATTGACCGGCCTTCTTTGCATGGCCCCACCCAATCATTTGTCGAGAGTTACACAGACTATGGCTAGAAGAGCTGTGCTAAGTCACTTTTGTACCTGGGTTCTAACATCATCGGGACACACAAGCCACCACGGCACAAGAGCCCGTCAGACAGGTGGTGGAATCAGACGTAGTTCTGAGCTAAAGCTTGGGTTAGGTGGCTGTGAGCCACCTGCCATGGTGGTGAGTCGGGTTCCTTGGGGGTCTGGGTAAGGTGAAGATGAATATGTAGCCCTGGTGCCAGGGGCCCCCTGTAGAGTGTTGCAGATATATGTCTGCTGTCCATGGAAAGCTTAGTCCTGACCAGGTCCATGCTGTCCTCAGAGGATTGTAGTATGAAAAGGCCCCTTTCACTCTTAGTTTCTAAGGGTGTGTGTGAGCATCTTTACTTTCCTGCCTTGGGCAGTTAGCAGTGATTTCAGCACCCAGTTCCACCCCTCCCTTCCCCTTGCTGTGCTCTCTCTTCCCCTCTCACCAGGCTTCAGGGTGGGGTTAGGGATAAGTCTTCCCCTCTCGCAATGGTAACTGTGCCCAGAGATCGGTGGAAGAAGAGAATCACTCGCTCAAGGTGTTGCATGATTGCTTGCCTAGACTGGCAGGTTCCTTGACTGTCCCAGGAATGGGGAGAGGCTTGCAGTGTGTTTATGTTGTCAGACTGTCTTGATGTTGTGCTGTGTGCCAAGAACTTAATGATCAATCTGGGAGCAGCCTTATGAAGTCAACTTCCCCCAGCTGGGCAGCAGTCAGTCTGTGGATCTGTCCGCTCTCCTTGACTGGTTGACAGGCTGGATCTGGGCCCGTGGGGTGTCTGGGGCCCGTGGAACCCTACAGAGACCTGTAGAATGGTCAGGTGTGGATATGTGTGAATTGAGAGTCTAGTGCAGGAGAGAAGATATAAAGAATATTCTTAAGATATAAGAATCACCGCAAGGTACCATGTGACCATAAACAAGTCAAATTAAGCGTGCTTTATAATGCACTGAATTTTCATGCAGTTAACACGCACCTTCTACATGTGTTTGTCCACCGGTCCCTTCCTCCCCACCCCCTACCTCTAGAGTGCTGTTAACACATGGCAAACAAGTGTAGACCAACACCCAAAGCAAAAGCACTGCCATCGAGTGGATTCGGATCCATTGCTATGCCGGATGTAGAAGGCATGCCTTGTTGGCCTTAGAGGACCGTAGCTTGCTCTCGGAGAATGTCGGTGGACTGCTGGGCAGTGCCTTCAGGAGTGAAACCCGAGAGCCAGGACCGAACGGGACGGCCTTGCTTTCTGAGGCCGCACACGTCTTCCGCCTTCAGCAGAGTGCAGTCTGACCACTTTGTGTTGCTTCTGCTATGGGAGGGAGCCCTGGTGGCATAGCGGTTACATGTTGGGCTGCGACCCCCAGGTTGACAGTTTGAAACCACATGCCCCTTCGAGGGAGAACGATGGGGACTGTCTACCCCCATAAACGGTCTATTCTGCTCATGGGTAGAACTGCCCGTTTGAGTGTCGGACGCGGTTACTGTTTATGGGGATCGACAGAACCAAGGGACGGGAAGGCTTGAAAAGGATAGCAGTTTAAAGCGCGGCCAGAATGGTTTTGAACTTGGCCTCTGGAGATCAGCCTGTGATGCGAGGAAGCCCACGCAGCCTTGTGCCTTAGCGGAATCTGTGTCCTTTAGGAAGAACCACTGCCTGGGGGTGGCTTCTACTCATGGCGACGCCATGTGTGTGGAGTAGAACTGGTCCATAGGGTTCCCAAAGCTGCAGTCTTTAAAAGCGTCTCTGGTGGCCTTGAACTTGCACCCTTTCCTTAACCATTTGAGCCATCCGCAGGCTCTGCCTCTTAGACATAGTTTTTACTGCTGACATCACAGGGGGGACGAAAAACACTCCAGTGTGAAGAGGCTTAGTTCTTCAGGGGTTCTTCTCACCTTTCTCCTCCTCCCTCCCCACCTTGTCTTCATTTCTTTCTCGTTTTCTGGTGCGCAGTCAAGGGCGGACAGCTGGTGTGAGGGGACCTTCTGGCGGGAATGAACCGCTTACCACCGTGCGAATCAGACCCAGCTGTGGCAGAGCCAACGGCGCACCTTGCACACCGGGAAGCCTAGAAGTGTTTCTAAGGAGATCATTTGTTACTTTCCTTAGCCAACACATGTATTGACCACTTATAAATGTAGTCCAAGGTTATGCCAAGGTACAGGAGGAAGAGAGAGAGAACAGAGAGAATGAATTGTGTAATGTCGCCGTGTAGTAAGCATCCGATGTAAGCAAACCTACAAAAAGCCAACTCAAGACAGGGCAGAGGGTGTGGGAGAGCAGACCTCATGCAGAAGGGCTTTGTGGGGTCTGGGGCGGGGTGTCAGGAGGGCCTCTTGGAGGAAGTGAGAATATTAAGAAGGATGGACACAAGGCCATTCCTTTCCCTGACAGTAAGTTCAGAATGAGGCCAGCCGAAGGGAAGATGCTTGCCTACTCTCTGAACTTGGTTCCTGCTGCGCCTTGCCGGAAGTTTAGAAAACAGGAATTTCTTCTTCAAAAGGGAAACCTCAGTTTGCCTCTCCTGGGGGGTCCATTAACCTGGGGCTTCACACTGGCCAGTTCTCCCCCGCCAGGCCCTGTGTGGCCAGTGGTGGCCTCAGCAGACTCGACCCAGTCCAATCTTGTGTGGAGGAGTACGACAGGTGTCTGGCCCCTTGTACCTGTGCAGTGGATGGTGCCCCTCCTCCCAGAGGGCTGGCTGCCCTTGGAGCCTTGGGGTCCTAGGAGGGCCCGTGGGCGGGAGGGAGGGGGATGCAGGGTGAGAAGCGGGGTTGGGGCTTGAGGATGGCCTCTGGGCCATGTTCCTCACCTGCCTCGTCCCGGCAGCGTCCCGTGTAGTGGGCATGCGCTGAGGTCTAACGAAACATCTTCCTGTCCCTTCCTGTCCCCACTAGGGCGGGAGCAGTTCCATGGGCTGGGCTCCATGTACTGCCGAGGCGCAGCCGCCATCATCCTCACCTACGACGTCAACCACGCGCAGAGCCTGGTGGAGCTGGAGGACCGGTTCCTGGGCCTGACGGACACGGCCAGCGCCGACTGCCTCTTTGCCGTCGTGGGGAACAAAGTGGACCTGACCGAGGCAGGCACCGCCAAGGGCCCGGAGCAGGAAGAGGGCAGCCCCGCGGAGGCTGGCAGCAGCTGCGTGCCCTCCGCCAGGGTGCCCAAGCAGGTGAAGCCGGAGGACGCGGTGGCCCTTTATAAAAAGATCCTGAAGTACAAAATGCTGGATGAGAAGGACATGCCTGCCGCGGAAAAGATGTGCTTTGAGACCAGTGCCAAAACCGGGTACAACGTGGACCACCTGTTTGAGACCTTGTTCGACATGGTCGTGCCAGTGATTGTACGGCAGAGGGCCCAGGGCCTGCCGCAGACGGTGGACATCCGTGATTTCAAGCAGCCCAAACAGACGAAGTCAGGGTGCTGCACCTGACTTTCCCAGGGGTCGCCCCGACTGCCATTTTGCACTTCGGGTCAGGGCTGTGACCCAGGGAGCCGGTGCCCAGGACAGAAGGCAGCGGCAGCAATCAGAGATCTGTACGGGCATGGAAACAGCAGCTGCTTATTGAAAGGAGATCGAGGCCCATCATCTCCTCCGTCTACGTGTGGTGGGTTAAGAGGTAGGGACCCCACTGGAATCATCTCTTGAAACCCATCTGCAGAACAAGGCTGCCCGGCCTGCCTGCCCGACCTGCTGCTCCGCGGGAACCAAGTGGCCCTGTCGGGACCTGGACTGGGGAGTCCCTCTTCGCCTCGGCACAGACGGGCGCTTTGCTGCGTATATGAGACCTGACACCAGCCGTTACCACATCCTGCAACTTCTCTGTCTGTCGTGATTGGCACTTGTTCCCTCTTCACTGTGATAGGATCTCTCTCTGGTCCTCCATGTGGTACTTGTGTTTTTATGCATCACCGAAGTGATTCTCCACCCGTTAATTTATACAAAATCAGGAACAACTGTTTTTATATTGGTTGCGGCAGCGTGACTTACATATGTTATTAAAAAGAGATTTTCAGAAAAAAAATGATCTCAGCGTTGCCATTGTATTGTTCTAGGCTCTCTCTATTTGCGCCTGCATGAGACTGCTGGTCGGGGGGTGCCTGGAAGATCACCCCCAACTCTCTGCTGCTGCTGCTTTTAGGAGTGGCGTCACATTCTGAACAGATGTCCACAGTAGTCAGACTGCTCCATCTCCCTCATGATCTTTGTGACAGGACTTCCAATCATAGTAGCAGAACCGGAAGGTTTCTTTCTGCTCAAGTCTGTCTGAGGTCAGTCTTTGAGTTCTGAGCCTCTTTTCAGTCCTGTAGTGGGAGGTGGGAGGTGGCTTGCTCGGTTAATAAGTTGTGAAGCAGCCATTTTACTTTCTTAGAAATCTCATTGAAAGCGGAGTGGCTTAGAGGTGGGACCCTTTGGTTGGGAAAGGATAGCAAATTAGCCAAAAAGCTTAGTGGGCAGAACAGTGTTTCTTGAGTTGTGTGTGTGTGTGTGTTGGGGGGGAGTGAATGGAGTTGAGATAACAGCGTCCTGCAGGCACAGTGCATTTCACGGAGAAGCAAACGATTGATGGTCAGTCCAAACCCACCAACTATGTTGAACCCAGTAGCTCAGTGGTTCTCAACCTGTGGGTCATGACCCCTTTGGGGGTTGAACGACCCTTTCACAGGGGTCACTCGATTCATAACAGTAGCAAAATGACAGTGATGAAGTAGTAACGAAAATAATGTTCTGGTTGGGGGTCACCCCAACAGGAGGAACTGTAGGAAAGGGTCACGGCCTGAGGAAGGTTGAGCACCCCTGTAGTAGCTACCCCCCAGAAGACCGATGTCCAATCTGCTGCCATAAAAATGACAGGCTTGGAAACCCTATAGCCAGTTGTGCTCTGTCCTTTAGGGTCACCACGAGCCAGTGTTAACGCGTCAGAAATAGGTCACCGGAGTTGGGATCAACCTGAGGACCGCAGGTTTGGTTTTGCTTTCGAATGCTTTTGGGGAATGCCCCCTCATCTCTGGTTACTGGGCCGTCAAGGGCTCACCACCCTCCTCCTGCTATAAAGTGAACATCTTTCATTAAGTGATTGGCAGCCCATTTCGTAAGATGAACTCTGACCCAGCCTGTCAATGAAGCCCCGGTTGCCGAAGCGGGGCCTTGAGCTGAGATGGCGGCTGCCCCACCGTAGCCCATCGCTAAGTGAAAGTGGATCGGCTTGGTGAATTCCTTTGTATGGACTTAGTTTCCTATAATCCGGGCCGAAGGTTTATTTATTTTCCATACTGTACAACTTTGCTTAGGACACATTTAGGGAACATTCTACCAAGGAAGACCTTGGACTCTAAAGGTGATGGAGAGAAGTAACAGAGTAACATGGGAAAGTAACATGGGTGGTTCATGTTCAAAGGCAGGGATGGGCTAAGAGGGTACTCCAGGCCCGTTCCTGGGCTAATATTCTTTGATTCTATTTTCTCTCCACTCGGAGCACTTCACAGCCCCCTTTCAGGAAGGGCCACGCATTCCGGGTGATTGGTACCCATGGATGCTATGTTTTCCATCAACTCCACTTAGGTATTTCAACTTTTACTTGTTGCTCTAAAAAAATGCACTTCATTGTGGGTTCCTTTTATACTGACTCCTTCCATCCTCATTAGCTCTTGGCTGGGCCAGTCAGCACTACTGTCTCTTATATTCTAGCAACTTCTAACTGCTCTGAGCGCTGCGGGAGTGAGGGACCAATTCATTCAGCGAGTACTCATTAAGCAGTGACTCTTCCCTCGGCACTGAATGGCGCTGTGCTATTCAGAAAATTAAAAGGATGGTTGGTGACCCAGGCCTCCCGGCGCCTCCATGTTCTGGCTGTGTCTCCAAGTAGATTTCAGCCTTGGCTCTTGGCAAAGGAGTCTTTCTTTGGCTGTAGACTCTACTGGTCTTGATTAGGTGTGACCCCCGGGTCCTGACAGTTCTCAGAAGCTTCCGAGTTTTCACTTGGGTGAACAAACTACTGAAGATAGTAGAGCGTTCCCTGTATGAGTTGGGATTGCACTTCCCATGAAAGTCCCTGGAGTCAAGTTGTTTCTGACTCCGAGTGACTTTATGGACAGAGTTGAACTCTCTCCATAGAACTTCCAAGACTGACCTTTACAGAAGCAGGCAACCACGTCTTTCTCCGGAGGATCAGCTTGGTGGCCTTGAACTGCTGACCATGCAGTTAGCTGCCCTTCCCCACTACACCACAAGACTCCCTTCTTTCTCATATACACAGATGTCACCGTGGGTGACTCTCCTAAACAAAAGGTTTTATGACCTCACAGTTTGGAGGAGAGAAGTTGAAATTCACACTGGCTGCCAGTTAGAAGGGAAGGCTTTCTCTGCTAGGGGCCAGGAGTGGGGGGTGATCTTTATCTCTCTGAGCATCTTTGCATTAAGTCCTTGGTGATTCCACATAGCACCAGTCTTTATCCCTCTGCGCTTGCTTGCCTTTGTGCCTAATGGCTCTTTCACACCTCAAAAAAGCATCGTTGAAGACATACCCTACATTCATGTCCCCTCATGCATGCAACAGACATGCCTACTCCCTAATGGGATTACATCTGTAGGCAGGTATAAAGGTGAGTGTTCACAACACAATATTTTTTTGGGCCGGGGGCAATGTACTCTGTAACAGCCCATTGTGGCTCCGTTTCTGCCTGGATCCTCCACAGTGTCCTTGTTTTGTGGCATCGAGTCAGTTCTGACTCGTGGCTTCCCAGGACAGAGTCCACCTGCCCCTAGGCTAGCCTAGGCGGTCATCCGTAGGAGAACAGACCACCAAGTCTTTTCTCCTGAGCGTGATGGATTTGAACCCCGCATCTCTGGGTTAGCAGCTGAACCCTAAACCACCGCGCCACAAGTCTCCTGACACACATTTGTGCATCTCTTCTCCGTGGCATCATGGACGGTGACATTTCACAGTGCTCCAGAGGCATCAACCTGGCATCGGCGGCAGGGGAGTTTTGGAGCTCGATGTCATTTGAATGTTGTAAGTCCTGTTTCCCCCTTTTCACATGTAGCTTTTTAACTCAAGTTCCTAGTTTCAACAGAGATACCTTCATTGCCAGTAAATCTTATGCAAACATTCTGTCTGCTGCTGTATCTCATGTCACACAAAGGTTTCCTTATGGTAGAAGTGCAGCCCGGTGCTCAGCTTTGTGCAATTGTTCAGATGCAAAAGATCATTTCCCGTCTTCTAGGAGGGGGGCAGGGCAGAAGTATAACAGCATATGCTTAGCTGGGTTTTTTTTTTTTATTGCGGGGTGGGGAGGTGGGGGTGTTGTGTGCGTGTGACTTCCTGCCAATTGATTTCTACTTTTTTTTGTTAGTTGGGATTTAATACATGTATCATTCCATATTTCAATCCCATTAAGTAGAATGTACAATTGCTACCACAATCCGTTCTCCAAACATTCTTTTTTACACGGACTCCTTAACAGCGGCTCCCTTTTACCCCACCACCACCACTGTACTCCCCCCTGAGCCCCATATTTTACTTGCTGCCCCTAAAGGTTCATGAATCCTGAGTTTCATGTACTGAAAGATGGAAAAGCATATAACAGCTTTATGACCTCCATTGACATAATACCTCTGAGGTACACTCTAATATGAACAAACATACACTGAACAAAATGATACAAGCCAAAAATACAGAATGTTGGAAGCCAGATCAGGCAGGGGAGAAGCATAACTGAGCATATGCTTAGTTGTTTTCAAAACTATTTTTTTAAAGTTGTTTTTTTTTACACAAAATTCACATATCAGACAACACAACATTTTAGTAGAGATGAGTGCATCCATCACCCAGTCCATTTGAGAACCTTTTCTTTATTCTTGTATCTTTTATTAGCTCCCTGCTTCCCTCAATAGTCATAACTATTAAACTAGTTGCTGTCGATATAGATTTACTTAACCTGAGCCTCATAAAAAGAAAATCAAGCAAAAATAACAACAAAAAAATCAAACTAGCAAATAAAACAATGAAACGGAAGAATGTCAATCCAAAAGATAGCAAAATGTAATAAACATTAAAACAAGTTGAAAATTAGTTAAGTGGAGAAAAAAAAGATAAGACTTTAAATGTTACCTTAACTATACCTGTGGTGATCCACACTCTGATGCACTCTGGGGCAAGATTATTCATGTCCTTGGTCAATGGACCTAGGGAACTCAATGGGGACAGTCCATGTGAGGGCTCTGTAAATAGATTTTGGGCATTCACTGTCATCTATAGCCTTCTGCAAAGCTGGTGCTCAAAATTTAAGTTCTGATACAGTCTCCCCATCTGATTTTGGATTATATTGTGAATTCTTTGATTCCACTGGTTAGCTGAAACTTCATTTAGATGGCTGCTCTTTTAAAATTATTTTTTAAATCATTTTATCAGGGACTCTTACAGCTGTTGTCACAATCCACACATCCATCCATTGTGTCAAGCACCTTTGTACATCTGTTGCCATCATCATTTTCAAAACATTTTCTTTGTACTTGAGCCCTTGGTATCAGCTCCTCATATTTTTCCCACCCTCCCTCCCTTATGAACCCTTGATAATTTATAAATTATTATTTTTCCATGTCTTACACTGATGTCTCCCTTCACCCACTTTTCTGTTGTCCATCCCCCTAGGAGGGGATATGTAGATCATTGTGATCAGTTCCCCTTACTCTTCCCCTTCCCCTCCTGGTATCTCTACTATCATGATTGGTCCTGAGGGGTTTATCTGTCCTGGATTCCCGTGTTCCCAGATCTTATTTGTACCCGTGTACATGCTCTGGTCTAGCCAGATTTGTAAGTGGATTTGGGTCATGATAGTGTGGGAGAAGGAAGCATTAAAGAACTAGAGGAATGCTTCATCAGTGGTATACTGCACCCTGACTCTTCCTTCTGACCCTTTTGTGAGGGGATGTCCAATTGTCTACAGATGGGCTTTGGGTTTCCACTCTGCCCTCCCCCTCATTCACATCCATATGATTTTTTTGTTCTGGATCTTTGATGCCTGATAC